TCCAAAATGATATTCGTAGTTTATTTGTGCTATCATATATAGACCTAATTACATTAATGACTGACCCATACCATTTATTTCTTTTTTCTATCACCATGCATTGTCACGGCATGCATTAGGAAGAAGTATATACATTTCTTCTAATATAGTAGTACTTCCTCTTATTTTATTAAACAAGATCAAGAGAAGGGAAGAAGTAAAGGCAACAATATAAGCTAACAGTGTGGTCCGAATTACGTAGAAAGCATGAAGATGATTGAGTCCGAGAGTGGAGGGAGCAATAACGTTGATCTTTGGTTGCAGCTTTTTTATAGCAAGAAATGGTGTGCGTCCAATGGGATCACACTAGGTTCATGTATTCTTTCTTGTTTATGTAGGGCTGCAACTGAGCTGGACTTGCCCTCCTTTTTTTAATGGAAAATCCAATTAATTACACGTGAAGATCGATAGGGATTTTCCATCAAAAGAAAATGATAAAGACTCTGAATTCTCACGCTATTTTGGTGTCCCTTAGTGTTGGCATTGGTAGTACAAAGACCCAGCTAGCTTGTGATTATGTATGCAAGTTGCTTGTAGAAATTGTTTAGTTTTACACTGTATATAACTACTATATATATCACTAGTATAAAAATAAGTATTGGCGACGGGTATTGGCGACGGAAATCGAATCCGTCGTCAATGTTTTCCCGTCACCAATGTGTATTGGCGACGGGAAAGTATTGGCGACGGACATGTCCGTCGCCAATAAGTATTGGCGACGTAATATATTCCGTCGCTAATGTTCCCGTCGTCAATGTTCCGTCGCCAATGAACATTGGCGATGGATGACCCCGTTGCCAATGTTCATTGGCAACAGGATTATTGGTGACGGCCTGTTCCCCGTCACGAAAGTGCATTGGCGACGGATTTTACTGCATTGGTGACGGATTTCTCTGTCGCAAATGCTCTATTTTCTACTAGTGTATTAGCCAAAAATAGCAGAATATTAGCAAAACAAAGAGAGCCAATGTTAACAACACGTGCACCAGAAAACATAATTAACCACATATATAGATGATGAAAAAAAATATAAACCAAAATCAGACGAATCTAACAAGATTCAGTAACCAGTGTGATTACCTATGTCCTTCGAGTACAACTAGGTCATGCTTCCACTAAGAAAACTTCCTCAAGGACCCAAAATATGGGACCAATAGGGGAGACAAGTGAGGTGTCCCCCTCCTATTGGATAATGAGTTGGCCATCATTAATGATGGCCAACTCATTATCCAATAGGAGGGGGACATCTCACTTGTCCCCCCTATTGGTACTATATTTTGTTGGATAGAAAATTCCTAATCTATTTTGGTAACATGAGGTTATTAGGATTCCTAGTCTATTTTGGTAACATGAGGTTATTAGGATTCCTAATCTATTTTGGTAATAGGTTATTAGGATTCCTAATTTGATTTGGTTTTGGTTTAGAATTCCTAGTATGTTTATGATTTTAGGATTTCTATATATATGGAATAATTAGAAGAGAGAATTGAGGAGAAGAAAAATTAGGGAATATATTTGGAGCACAGAAAAGAGGTATTTTCTAAGCTATTTGTTTAGGGTTTTGTTTGGAGAGATTAAGAGCTTGTTGGTGAGATTAGTTTATTCCTTCGAGTGATTTGTAATCTCAGTTTGTACTCTTTCTCTATTAGTGAAAACCCCATCCCTTTCTTGCCCCGTGGACGTAGGCAATTGCCGAACCACGTAAAACTATTTTGTTTATTTGGTTGTGATCTCTCTTGTTTGGATTATGTGATTCGACCGCTTCCGCTCCGCGCACAACAATTGGTATCAGAGCTTCGGGTTCAACTTGAGGCTTGTTTGAAGGATTCGCTGAAGGATTCCTATTTAAAGAGTTAGATCGACAACATGGGTGAAGCAAGCACATCGGGATCATCTCTTGCGAAGACGATACATAGTTTGAGCATCAATAACATGAAGATCGATGTTCCAAAGTTTGATGGTAAGATCAATTTCGATTTGTGGAGGTGTCAGGTGATGGATGCATTGGACGCTCAGAATTTGGAGGAGACTCTTGAGTTACAAGAGAAACCTGCCGAGATGGAAGCTAAGGTTTGGAAGAAGATGAATAGTAGGGCGTGTGGAGTTATTCGGTCATGCTTGACGTCGGATCTTATTTATGATGTGATGAACGAGACTTCGGCGAAAAAGATATGGGAAACACTTAATGAAAAGTATCTTACTAAGAGCATTGAGAATCGGCTTTACTTGAAGAAGAGGTTTTATCAGTTCAAGATGAAGAGGGGAGTTTCCATTAGGGAGCATGTTAACAACTTCACAAAGCTGCTTTCAGACATGGCTAATGTGGATATCATGGTTGAGGATGAAGACAAGGCGATGCTATTTTTGTGTTCGTTGCCCGATGATGATTATGGTACGTTTGTCCTAACTATGATTAATAGAAGAACTACTGTTAGTTACAAGGAGGTGACCTCAGCGTTGGTGAATTATGAGTTGAGGAAGAGTGTTGATGAGTCCTCCGAGAAGGCATCGGGAGATGCATTAGTAGTTCATGGTCATGGTTCAAACCGAAGCAGGAGGTCGCGGTCTAGAGGTGCACATCGTGGGATTCGTAGGAATCAATGTGCCTTTTGTAAAGAGGATGGACATTGGAAAGCCGAATGCCCAAAGTTAGATCGAGCCGAGAAGAATAAGGGGAAAGCTATACAAGCTTCAGAGGTGAATGTTGTCAAGACTAGTGACAACAATTCAGATTCGGATTCTTCGGGCTATTCATTGTCTGCACTGCCGTCAGTTTGTGTTGCGAACTCTACAGGGTGGATGTTGGATTCGGGTGCTTCATACCACGTATGCCCTAGGAGGGATTGGTTCTCCAGCTTTCAGAAGTTGGAAAGAGAGGATGTTGTGCTCATGGGTAATGGACATGCATGCTCTATTGGTGGTATTGGTACCGTTCGTATTCGGATGTATGACGGAGTAATTCAGGAGTTGGAATGAGTGAGGTTCGTTCCGCAGTTGTCGAAGAACATCATTTCACTAGGAGCTTTGGTGGCATCTGGCTATAAAGTAACCTTGGAGGATGCACGTTTGAAGGTCACATTAGGGTCCATGATTGTTATGTAGGGCGTCAGAATGAGCAATTTGTATTATTTACTCGGAAGCACGACGATTGATAGAGAGATGACGACTTCATCAGATTCGGCTAGACTGTGGCGTTGTTTGATGCTTGGTTATTTGATTGGAAATACCGTGCATAGATTTTTGAGGAGTGCTTTGACCTGCAGTTTGAAGTCCTGTGAACCCATTGGTATGAGCGAGAAGACCGAGGTGGAGTTTGGCACTTCTATCCATCATTCGAGGGGTTTTCTGAGGGGTGTTCATTCAGGCATTCGGGAGCCTTCCAAGGGAGCATTATTGGGAGGTAATAGGTATGTGGTTTCCGTAGTTGGGGATTGCTCTAGGCATTGGTGGGTTGCAACCAAATCCCGTTGGTGTGAAGTCCTAGAAGCCCGCAACAGATAGAGAAAGTGTGTTGGTAGAAAGGTAACCCGGCGTTCTGATTATGGTAGGGGTTCTTTCTTGCATTTGTGCCGAGCTCACGGCAATAGGAGACACTTCATTGGTGTGGAAACTTTGAGGCGACAAGGCGAGATGGTAGATTCAGGTAGCTGTTCCTTTCTGGAGGAGGATTGGCGTTTGATGTCAAGCATTGGCATTGGTGTGCAGGCTACGACATGTTTGGGCCGTCTCATGTATAGGTTGCCGACTGCTGCATGTATAGATATGGGATCTGGTGGAGCTGCTTCAGATTTTGGGTTGCGTCGGATGTTTGGCTACCCAGCACTCGGTCACATCGTGGATGTGAGAATTGATCCGATAGCACATTTGGGATTCAGAGGCGTGTTTGATTATCAGGTATTGGCTTCTGACTTTGTTCTGAGAAGGTATGTCACGTTTGACTCTCGGCAAGTGGAGAGTGGTGATCAGATCTTTTGGACATCACCGCAGGTGGAGAGTGATGCTACTCCACATTGTGAGGAAACTCCAGATCATACTGCATCATTTGGGATTCCAGCTGATGTGACACAGATTGGGAATCGTGTTGATTTGGATGCAGATGATAGGTTGATTGATTCGAGTACAGCTGATGGATGTAGTCTGGATATGGCCATTGGTTCATCTCAGGTGGAGATGTTTGGATTGTGTGATTCGACCGCTTCCGCGCCGCGCACAACATATTTTTGGTCCCTGTAGCAAAGCTCTTACACTAATAATGAAGGATTACTATTTACAACTAACCTCTCAAATCCTATCTCGAACTTTATGCCTTCTCTACTTTTTCTCTCTTCTATACCCCTTGTATTCAGGTTGCAATTCTGAGTCTCGGTTATACATATTCTCCATATAAATTAAGCTCTGATTTAGAATATTTACGCCTAGTTTGTAAAATTGGAAGTTTCCTTTATTGTTGAGTCAGAACTTAGAGACCAAAAAATTAACGCAGCACTTCACTACAAATTTCTAAATTAATTTGCGGCCGTGTAACCTCTAATCGATATAAATTTGGAAGCAAAAGCCCAATCAAGCTACCTTGAACTTGCGTATAAGATGCAACTGAAAATTAAAACAAAAAGCAGTTAATTATTTAACAGAAAACAAATATTGTAATATCTTTTCTTTGGCTAGTTACATTGGAAAATAAAATCGTAAACTGACCGGCCTAATAACTCTTAATTCCTCGCTGAGGCCCCTAGGTCTGACGTAGTTAAACAATTATGGGCCTGAGTATCTCGGCTTCTTTTGGAAGGTGACTTGCTTTTTTTAGTTCCTACAAAATTAAAATGAGTAAGAGTTGCATCAAATTAGTATTCGTTAGGCAACACTATGGGCCTGGGCCAATTAGTAAGAGCTGCAAAAAATCAGTAGGACTTAGTTAATAAGTATGGGCCTGGGCCGATTTTCTCAAGAAGGATGTCGTGTTTATGACACCACACTGCAAACTAATTAATCAACCGCCATGAGAAATTTACAACCTAAAATCTCCCCAATTGATCAAACCACTACCACAAACAGAAACTGGCTCTGTCGACCGGCATTAATTCACTCAAACCCTGAGCTTGGGCTTGCACTTCTCGGACAAAACGTGCGTCCTCTTCCCCAAACTCCTCACCTTGACATCACACAAAATTCGCATTCTCATGCGCCACAATCTCAGACTACCGACCTTCAATTTCACCGGAAACCTAGCGGACACCGTCAACGGCAACGCTTCCCTCGACCCGTTCAAGCTCCTCTTAACCTCTTTCGGCAACGCACGCTTCAATCCATCGGCAACTATCTCGAACTCCTTCACGCTCTTATACCCATGATAGAACTCCGGTGTGTTTCCTCCCGCAATCTCGGCGCTTTTGTAAGCTAAAACAACATTCCCATCTCTCTGATAATAGAACCCCATTCTCAAACTCTTGTTCCTACTCATCATCATGAACTTGTACCTAGTTGTGTTCGCCACAACACGGGCAATGTTGAAGGTGGGAACACTAGGACGGACGGTGAGGAAGAAAATGACGCCAGAGAGAAGAGTTACGATGCCCAGGAGGAGGAGGATGCGGAGGAGCCAGCATGAGCAATTGATGCAAGGGCTCCCTCGCCTAATATGCTTGCTGTCGAGGTCCGCTGTGTGTCTGTCAATGATGGAGGCGTTCTCGGAGGGAGGAATGCGATAGATTTGGTCCTTGGGGAGTTGGATGATGTATGTCTCAGGGGCGGGCGGTGGGGCTGGTGGGTGAGATGGCGGGGAGACGATCTCGGTGCTCGTGTGACGAGGCTGGAGATGGCGAGGAGTGACGAACGAGGACGAGGAGGAGGTGGCGGTGGTGGCGGGATGATGGGAGGTTCCATTCGTTTTGATGGTTGAGAGAAGAGTTTGGAGGAGTTGGGGAGAATTTGCTTGGAAGTAGGGAGATTCGGACCGGGTCAGTGGAGGGCTTGAAATAGGATTAACTACTTTGGACCGGGCGTTGGGAGATCTGGACTAACCATAATAACCACCATGGACCGGTCCAATTATTTTCCAACTTTATTTAGCTAGTTTTTCATGTGTATAAAAATAGGTTTTTTTTTTTTCCTGTTCTTGTTCATTTTGCATGTTGTTTATACGTCTAATTTAAGTCTAAACCAGTAAGCTTGCAATGGCCACTTGTGGGCTTACTTGACCCTAGTTTATTCAACTTAGTCTAAACTGACAACCATAAAACAATAATGATAACATGGCATGTCAATTATCCTAGAATCTTCCAACATCTTTGAGCTAACTATTCTAACACTATATGGAGCTTCTTATTAACCACTTCCTTTGACTACGATCTAGATTTTGATATTACTTGTCAGGAGTAATTGGGACCGTCGGGGAGTTAATGGATCATAACTAGAAGTTTAAGAGTAAATTAATCTAAAGGGTTTAGGTGTCAGGTACTGACCCAACTTTGTATTAAGTCTCTTTCTTTCTCTAATGCGAAATGCCATTAAAACATGAAATTTTCAACAGGAAAGGTAAATATCTTGAGTCTAGTTTACTTGTTACGAATATTAATAATTAATAAGCGATGTGTGGAAATACTGTAAATTGATTCTAAGGTGACACCTTAGATTCCCACTTAAGGACGCAGCCTAAAATCACATCATTTTCTAATTGTTTTTTCCGATCCGCTCCGTTGAACTTGATCTACACGTTCTTAAACCTAAACACACCAATTTTGGGGTGAGCCCGTCGTGTTTTGACCCTTCATCCACTCGCCGCAATTTTAACGGTTTCGAATGAATAGAACTTTTTGCACGGCTCAACGAAGGGTCAAAACACGACGGGTTCACCCCAAAATTGGTGTGTTTGGGTTTAAGAACGTGTAGATCAAGTTCAATGGAGCGGATCAAAAGAAAAAAAAAAGGAATAATGTGATTTTAGGCCGCGTCCTTAGATGGGAATCTAATGTGTCACCTTAGAATCACTTTTCCATATATATATATAATATATATATATAAAGACAGATACAGAGATTAGCTGCCACCTTGCATTTACACAATAATGATAATAATTAGATTGTACAAAAGATCTTGCTTTCACTTAAAAACCGCAATTATGGATGATCCATTCACGTACTCTGAAAAAGGAAAGGACTATTAGATCCTCTAGACATGAATCAAAGTATATGCCTGATGAAACAAATCAATGTTCAAATTATAAATACCAGAAAATCCGCAACATCCCGCAACATCACACCACGTATAGCCTTTCCCTTCAAAGGAATAAGCTTGATAGAATTCTCCCTGCAAATTTACTCATGTCGTCTCCCATGACTTTTACAACATGCAAGCAAAAGATCATGAAGCTTTCTTCATGGATTTCACTTCTACAGTTCTACGTACTTCTCTTCTTCTACCTCACAATCTTTCATGGTGTCATCAGGAGTCGGGACCGAGCAAGCCAACCACCTTGGTGCTCTTATAAAATCACGAGCATCTTCATCTTCAAAAATCAATATTAAATAGCTAGAGGGCTTTGCATATATACCCCTCAAATCTTCAATACTTGCAAATTTACACCTCTAATATTGATATTTGCAAACTTACTCTTCAATTCTCTTACATTGGGTTATTCTACATAACGATGTTAGTTTCTAAGTGGTAAAATGATAAAATATTCCAATAGTTTTCAATAATGTTGCAACATTTTCTCTTTCAAGAACTAAAACTCTTTAGTGAGGGGGTAGAAAGCTCAATGTGATAGATGTGGGGGGTAATTTTGCAGATGCTAGGATTAGAACGGTAAACATGCAAATATGGAAGATTTTAGGGGTATATATGCAATATACCCTAATAGTAATTGGCTAGACATTCTTGGTCTTCCCTTTGAAACACAATGACAGGCATGATCGAATGATAAGTTATTGGTGGATTATGAGGATTCTCTGCAATCAAAAAGGATGTAGTGGATATCCCGACGCCACTATCGACGAGGTATGTTAATTACCATATTTAATAGTTTTTATGCACCAAAACTAAGTATGTCTAAGCCATTGAAAATATAGAAAGATTACTTTGTCATCGAACATTCATGTTAGAATTACAGTTTAGGCTATATTGATAGTCTGAAACTCTATAGTGCCAGAATCAACAACAGTTACAAATCAATTTTGCTAGTTGCTCCTAATTAACCATACAGTGGATAATCCTTCACGCAAAGATGTCTTAATTTTCCAATCCCTTGGCACTTGCATATGTAGACATTATACACGTAAAAGAATCTTGGATCAGTTTTTACTTGTGACGTGAAATGAAATTAATGGAGTAAACAGTAGGTCTATATAATATAAGACTGAATATACTGGTGGATAATGAAGATATGCATGAAAATCTCTATTAATTCACGATCAATCCATTATATAGATCGCATCATATAACAAATGGTTCGTGTGTGTGTATCTGTACATGTGCACGCATGTGTGTGTTGATGGTTTAAATCACACTATCAGAAGGTAATAGAGATTGGGTTGATATGAGGCCGCTCACTTTTCCGAATATCCGATTTGGAGTTGGGTTGTTCGTCCTTACACGCGTAACAACTCGTAAGAGGACGGGAACGGCTTCCCCTGTTGTTCCTCCGATGATCAAGTCAGCTAGGTGCTTGAGTGAGAATATGAGAATGGAATGGAGAAAATTGCTGAGAAATTGCTTACCCTTATATTTGGAATAGTTTTCCTTTTTATAGCCAAGCAAGAGGTGTAGTCTAGTCTTTTTGGCCAAGACTGAGCTGGCGACTGAGTCAGCATCTACTTTACAGGTGTCAGTCGTTGATCGGTTACGGGATGGGCGCTGTCATTTCGCCATTAATGAGATGCGATGGGCGGCGCACGAAGCTAGTATGGTCTGATGTGTCATAAATAGTGTCGGGGATGGAGAAATGATGGCGTCTGTCAAGCATTTAATGTAGGCCTGTCCATCCGGGCCGGCCCGGCCCGGAAATCCGGGCCCGGGCCGGGCAAAACCGGGACCCGGACCCGGGTACGCCGGGCCATAAAAAAACAGAACATCTCGTATCAAAACTCCGCGATAAAACATGTCGAATAAAAAGGAGAGAAAAAACTTCTACTATAATATAATATATTCGAATGCTTTAAAAGGAAAAAAAAAGAGGAACATATATATGCATACCAATCCCACTCTTTATCGATCTGTTCGTAATCGACCCCGTCTTTAATAACTCGACGGCGTCGGACGAGAAAGAGCATGTAGCCGAACGAGGTCCATAATTGATGGGTTAACCCTCTGAGAGCACAGAGGATGAGAATATGAAGGCACCATGAGTCTCTCCCACTCTCCTCCCATGACTTCGAATATATCACCTTTGCTACAAGAGGACCATATAATAGATACTGCAAATAAAACATGGTCAAAAAAATTTTATTAAAAAGAAATTAAATATGTAAAAGACTAGCAATTGTAAGTCATGAGAGACTTGCCTTGTAGACTCCGAGGTTGTTCCAAGGCCAAGAAGACAAGGGAGCAACCATTTCAGAGTAGAAAGAGGATAAGAAAATAAAATTTGAAGGGAGAGAAGAGAAATTGAAGCAAGCCAAGCTTAGCTTGGTTGAACTTTGTGGTTTTCGTTTGTTTCACGCTCTCTCTGTTTCTCTCTATATATAGATTTTGAGAAGATTGGTTATAAGGGTGACTATATATATAATGAGTGGCGTCTTTTATATACGAAAAGAAAGAAGGTGAGCGCAATTTAATGAAGTGCAACAGCCAGGTTAAATGTTGTGAAATGGAGACGTAAGGAAAATTTAACTCAAATTTCATATTAATTGAGAGAGTTTGAGCTAGGCTTGGTAAAAAATTTCACAAAGTATATATGTAAAGCGTACCATGAAGGGATTCGGATCTTCTTCTTACCGAAAAATAGTGAGCATATCATTATTTAATTTTAATCATAGATTATTTAGTGGGTGATTATAATTTTTTTCTTTGAGTGCAAATTAAGAATGGACACAGTACACTAGACTATGATGAATATTAGAGTTAAAATATATTAGAACCACCTAATATATAATTAATAGTTAAAATTGAAAACAATCATCTCCCTATTATTTTTCATAATGGAGGAGACTCTAAAAGGGTCCTACTCCATTTAAGGCTAGTCCAATCTACTGCCCTCTTACAGTTATACCTCCCAATCAATGCGCGCACTCTTTCTTCTTAGATATTTTTTCTTCTTCTTTTTCTCAAACGACTATTTCTCTGCCCAATCACTTTTCCCAATGCTTTGAATTCAGCAACTCAACCTTAGCTGTTCATGTGATCTTTGTACCCATTCAACACACTAGCAATGAATGGAAACACCCATCCAAAATGTTTTCTTATACAATCTCTTTTTTTAAAAACGTGCAAGGTAATAAGATGAAGAACAGCGTTATCGGTATCATAAATTATTTATTTGTTTTGCATTACAAGGCATAACAATATGGATTCTTCTCGTGTATTATTAATGAGAAATGGCGAGTGAGTACTTATCTTATAGTGTTGTGTTCTGTAGTACATAAAAATATGGGTTAATTTTTTTTTAATTCTTTCTACCCTTGGTGAAATTTAGTCTTAACATTACGCTTGGGTGAAATTAGTGAGTCTATCATAAATAATAATAATAATAAATAATAAATAATAAATAATAAAAAAAGAAAAATACCTATCTGAACAATGAAACTAAAGGTAAGATTGTCCAAAGGTGCCTAGCCTGGCCCGGCCCAGAAATCTAGGACCAGGCCAGTTCGGTTATTTTTCTTTTTTTGGCTTAAAAGTTAGATTTTTTTGTAAAAAATAAAATTTCAAGAGTAATTAAAAATCAAATATATAAAATTTTAATATAAATTTAATCATATTATTAATCACTTATAATTATACAATTTACAAATACAAATATCATAGAAATTAAAATGATAAAAATAAATTCTTTATTATTAATCACTAACAATTGCAATTTTTTTTTAAATTTATCGCATCACAGTAGATGAACACATCCCAACTAGGTTGGCATCTACTCATCTATATCACTATCATTTGTAACTCTTTTCAAAATAATTTATCACAAATTTACAGCTAAGAAATAAAAATTACAAACTAATGAGTAATTTCTACTCTCTATCTCTATCTCATATTATCAACTCAAGTCTATCATCAATACTAGACATCTGATTGATGCATTCAGTTCTCTTCTCGAACCTCCACCAATCTTGTAGGCATATTACCGCCTGTACGATAGACGGATCTAGCAATGTTCTGTGGTCGTCAATCAAATGTCCTAATGTACTGAAGGCAGATTCCGAAGCTATTGTATGAACATGTACTATTAGTAAGTCACAAGCCATAATAAAAAGTATAGGATATGAAACTGTTCTATATACTCTCTGTTAATGGTCTAAATCTCACAAGTAAAAGAGAAGGTAATAGAGAATGTGGTGATATGGGGGCCGCTTACTTTTCTGAATATCCGATTTAGAGTTAGGTTATTCGTCTCTGCGCGTGTAACAACCCGTAAAAGGACAGGGACTGGTTCAACCGTTGTGCCTCCGATAATCAAGTCAGCTATGTGCTCAGTGGGAATAAGAGAAGTACAGCGGAATGGAGAAAAAATGCTAAGAAATTGCTTACATTTGCATTGGGAATAGTTTTCCCTTTTTATAGCCATGAAGGAGTGGCATTTTAGTCTTTTCTGGTCGAGTCTGAGCTGGCGGCTGAGTCAGCATTGAATGTACAAGTGTCGGTCTTAGATCAGACACAGGATGGGCATTGTCATTTCATCATTAATGAGATGGGATGGGCGACACATGAATTCGGCATGGTCTGATGTCTCATAAGTAGTGTCGATGATGGAGAAATGATGGCGTCTGCCAAGCATTTAATGTGACGTCGACGTACTGTCAGCCGGGGGGTTTGAGGTTGAAGTCGTCTTTTGGCTGGTAACGAGGGGTGTCGAGAAGTAACGCCTTTCGAGGCGACCTCGCGAGGTGTCGAATAACTAGTCGAGTAGCTAGGCTCATAGCGAGTCGTTTTCGACAAGAGAACCAACGAGTACTGCCTTTCGAGTCGACCTAAGGAGATGTCGACTCGGCGAGTCGGCTAAGTCATGATTCTTTTTTTGAACTGAAAAGCAGGCTTAAAAGCCCTGCTCATAAAGCGGTTATTATTAAGAACCGAAGAAAAAAAACAGATACAAAAGAGCGTCACGAACTAGATGTAGAACCGGTGAGAGTGCAGTAGGTAAGGAGCGGACCTATGTCGTCACCTACCAAACTGTACTCACAGCGATACTACATAGGTAGCTGATACATATACATACTTACAAAAAAAGATAAGAGCAGCCTACTAGAGCACAAAACAACAACAGTTTTCCAGAGTGGTACATGTAGGGGGACAAAACAGCAACAGTTTTCCAGAGTACTACATAGGTAGCACAAAACAGCACAAAGCAACCTACTAAGTCATGATTCTTGGTGGTCCTGACCGTCAATTCTATTTGAGTGGTACATGTAGGGGGACACCTGTCCGTTGCTGACAAAGGGTCATACTTTGGCGACTAAAAACACCATAACAGTGTGTGTATATTTTTTTTCCTTACAAATGTAGGTTGCAGGATATGTTATTGGATACAAGGGTCTAATATTTGCAATAGTTCGAGGAACCGGGCACATGGTTCCCCGCTATCAGCCTGAAAGATCACCAATCTTCTTCAAAACATTTCTTAAAAGGAGAATTTCCTCCCATTTAATATCCATTATTAGCAGAAGTAAAGCTTCGTTCCATCAATAACAGTCGATACGATTGTCATATTGACTCGGTTTTCATTCCGTCCATAAGCTTGACTTTATGGCTTCATCAACCAAGTTGTTTATGCTTGAGCCAAGAAAGGAACCAGTGCAGTATTGTAAAATTCATTTTTAGCTCTAATTATGACTCTGTGCGACCGTGAAAACTAAAAGGCTCAAACAATGTATAATATAAACTAGGGTTAGTTGCGTACTCTTCTGTACTTGAAATCAAGAAAAAATCCAATAGATATGCTCCTTATATTGAATCCTATACGAAATTGAGTAATCTCAGAGCTTGTCGTTGCCAATAGCGCCTAACTAGGGTGATATCCTTATACGGAACTTAAGACTATCACAACATACTAACCCTGGTCTTGAAGTAAAATTGGTATCTAGCCCTTTAATATGATGCCTTAAAATGTTGATCCTTTCAGAGCAATGTATACCGCTTCTGGGTAGATAAGGTGACTGAAGACGTCAATGTAGCCTTTCAACCAATTAGTGAAGCTACCAGAGTGATATTATAGCTAGTAGATGATTTCCTCCCATCCTAATCTACAAAGAGTTTAAATTTGAATATAACCTGTTACACCTAAACTTACATCAACTGCGAACTCGAACTCTATTAGAACAACCTGCACGTGATTTGGCTGTTCAGATCCATAGAATTTCAACTTCCCCATCGTATATAGATCGCAACAGCGTTCCACAAGCAAACTGTTCTGTATACGATTCTTATTCCATCAACTCCTCCATAAATGATCTCTATCTAGTACATTTATCTACAGCAGAACTTTGCATAAATATTTATTCTGTATTCCGGAGAAGAAAACAAAAGGACGAGAGATTCTAAGTTGCAGTCACCGGATTGAGAGACATTATAATAGTTATGCAAATCAACAAACACTTAAGTACGAGGAAATATTTAATGATACTATGATGAAGAAAACATGGATTTTTTTTTTTAATGAGTGTGATGAACATCATCTTAACAAAACGGGAACGAACAAAATGGCATATGATTATGAAATACTCCTTTATTCAAGAATCATGTTTTCAGCTGAGTGCACGCAAAAGGAATGAAGATACGGTACACTGAATAGACCAGCATTGAAGCTGAGATTCAAACAAACAATTCAACCCGACTTAAATCAGCTGCATCGTGCCTCCTGGCATGTTCAAACCCATATTTTCCGTCATCATGCTTCTTGTACTTCAGCAAAATAATCTTGCCTGAAAAAAGGAAAATATGTCAAAGTGTACAGGTGCCAACTGCAAACTAATACAACTAGTAGGATGAAATGTCAACCATGACATTGAGTTTCTAATGATATAAATATGACAGATATTAGCTAATAGCACAATATCATGTACAAGGAAATAAAAAAACACTGCTAACTGCTATATGAAATAACATTATGTTTTATAATTTTTTTGTTAAATAAGTTGGCATCATTAGTGTCAAACAAAAGCAGAAAAATGCAGTAAATATGGAAGCAGTTTTGGTTATAGATTATAGTGATGCATCGTGGAACACATCTATCATAAGCAGTGGCCGTAAGCTCTCCATCAGCCAGGTTTAAGTGAATTCTAATACCTGGGCGGAAATCCTCTTGCTAAATGTCATGAGAAATACTTCATGTGCCCAGGAATCTGATGGGTGCTCAAAGCATTTTGGTGGGAATTGGTGTGTAGGTTTTCTCTTTTCTTTTAAAAAAAATTGAAGCTGAGATTCCAATTCTGAGTACTTGGAGGCAAAGTGAAGGAGAGGGAAGGAGAGTGTACAAGGAACTATGTGACTAAATTTACTGGTTCTCAAAGTCCAAGCACTAAATTTTGAAAATGTCTATTTTTAGTTATTGTTAGTGTATTATTATTCTACAGATGGGAACCTTTCTGGAATCTAGATGTCTAGCAATAAACAATCATAATTACTAGAGTGTATTTATCGAAGATATGCCATTTGGAACAATTCTTGTTTATGTCATTCATAATATAAAGCTAGATATATGTGTAATCAAGGTGATGTTGTGGACTTGATTTTTAGGGTCAACTACAAGAATCATAAACTTATATATTGCCATGAGCCTGAAGATTTTGAACTTGTAGTCTGACCAAAGATCTGCTGCGTATGAGAGCTACAACTATCAGACAAAAATATATCTGAACACATAGGTGTATAACACATTAAGAATACAGTTTTCCATCGGTAAGTCGTTAATTATTTCACTCAGTATCATAGTGAATGGGTCTTAGGTACCATAAAAGAACATTATAGGAGAGATCTACCACCATGACCTTTAATAGATATTGTATCAATTTACCACTAAAGAAGCAGATATATGTGGAATTTTCATGATAGAGGACATTTGAGAAAATGAGAATGAGTAGGGTCTCAATGTTAAACCATTAACACAGATACATCATTATATATGATTTTGGAATGAATAATTTACAGATTTCGAAAAAAGATCTGATAAAGTCATAAAATGACTCATATGAATCTATGCTACACATAAACTTCTAATACTCAAATGACTGCCATCAGCTTCTACACTCACAGGACTCACATCAACTTCTAATATTCAAATGATGACAAATCAGGAAAACCCATAACAAGTCGGTTGATGCGCTTTGACGGTTGAATTTTTAAAAAAAACTAGTTCTCCTCTTGCTGTAAATTTTAAGGTGAACATTGAAAAATGAAACTCAAAAATAATGATTGAGAAAATCATAATACAAAGAAGCTATAGAGCTCCATAATTTAAAAACTAGATTATTTATGCATAGTCTTTAAGGAATAAACT